TGTGTGTGTGTGTGTGTGTGAGGCATGGTGGTGAAATCAGGCGCTCGTCAAAATACTGAAATCCAAGAAACCGACATTTTCCTGCTGGTTTGGCAATTTTTAGCAAATTCTTTTTGGCTCAACATCTTTTACGTCCATTTAAAAACACATTTCTGGGTGGATTTTTTTCTCCCAAAAAAAGTTGATTAAAGTGACAAAACTGTAAACTTCCAGTTGTCAAGGACTCTCAAGCTATGGAAGTCACCAAACTTTGGCAGCCATTTTCTCGCTAATTGTACCACTGAACCGAGTGATCCATCCTCCTTCGATCGCAAATATCTCGACTTCTATTCAAGATAAAACGATATTTTTTTCTTTCAAAGCAAGGCAAATGAACAGGCTTTAAGATGATACCAATAACTCCATATGCCCAAAAATTGATGAGCGCCTGATTCCACCGCCTCATGACAAATATATAAATGCATCTATTCTATGTATTTATCCACAGTATTTATGCAGGCCTATGTTTATAAATGTTATGCCACTGTAAACCAAGATAACGGCCCCCCAATTTGCTCATCGTGTTCATCTTGACGTGTCTATCTCTCTTTAAATAAGTTACACCTATGGTAGACCTCTGACTTGCTTACAAATACATTGTCACCATAAACTCTTCCAAGTTCGGTACGAATTTAAGTCGTGGGGTTCATCCTTTTTGCTTCAAAAAAAAAAAAAGAAATACAGCTCTAGTCGCTTCCTTTGACCAATTTTGTATAGAATCTAGTCAAGTTTTAGTAGAGTTGCCATTTTTGTTGTTGTAAAGTTAAATGTTTGCGTTCCCTGTGCGCATTTTAATAGTGCATCCTAATGATTTCCCCGAGTACTTGATACGTTTTACTAAAGTGAAAAGTATTGGATAGTTTTATTAAATGTGTCCATTTTTCTGTTAATTGTGGGACAACCTTTGTACATTTATATGGGCTGAAAACTATTCATTTTCCAAATTCCTTTAGATTATTAATATGCTGCCATACCATTTTTGTGAGTGTTTATTCACTACATTATTTTTGTCTTTATCTCATGCTTGAGACTTTTATGATTAAGCAAAGAGTTGAAAGTATAAAGTAACCAGATACATTGTATGTTGATATCTTCATAGTTTACTCGAGTCACAGGTGGTTGGCAAGTGCTCTGGTGTGGTTTGCTCCTTCTTTCTAATCAAACATCTATCGTCCTTACCTCTCCTCCTTCTTTATTGCATTTATTACGCTCTTGTAACCTCTATAATCTACAGCCCTTTTATATGATTATATTGTGTTGCAAATAAAACCCATTACTAATACTTACTCTAGTCAATTTTAGCATACACGTATATACTGAAAACCTATTGTTTTGTTTGAAGTTACAGCCAGTAACACTTACAGATGTTTTGTTGAATCTACAGACAGAAACAAATGAAAATATGTCAAAGAAGGGCAAGATGCCATGGATGGAGTACAACGGCGAGGAGGTGGCAGACTCACACATTTGTATCACTTACCTCAACCAGAAACTGGGCATTGACCTCAACAAAAACCTTGACCCGGTTCAGAGGGCCACTGCGAGGGCCATACAGAGCCTGTGTGAAGATCACTTGTACTGGTCAGTTGGATGTTTGCTTAGTGAATTGTGTGTGGCTGTCTGAGATGCTTTCCGTGATCGAAAGAGAAGATGATGGACGTTTTACTGGTGTCTTACATGACGGTTGGGAGTGGGATGAGAGGAGGGGGGAGGTGTCTTGTTAATGGGGCTTACTTGAATTGGCAAACTTTATTGTATACAACTGTGGGGGGTGGGGGGGGGGCAGGGCAGAGATGGAGAAGGCTACTTAACTCCGATTTATGATGAGGCAAGCATGCACGTGTGCACGCATGCCTGCACACAAACGCGTGCACAGGCACACATACACACAATCACGCTCAAAAACGTAGTCTCAAATAAACTTACAGTCTGCAGATGTTGGCGAATGGCCAGAATGTTCTTCAAAGACTCAATAAAATGTTGGTTGTGGTTGTTTGAATGGCAAGTGTGTGTGTGGGGGGTTTGAAGCAGTAATACCAAAACCAGCAAGGTGTTTCTTTCTGTGTTAGGCACGAAACGATGTGAAACTGTTCGATATTTCATGTCTTGGTTTATTGTCAGTTCCCTTGTGCGTGGGCAGACCTTTCTTCTGCATGCTCATTTATAGGTAGCCTACCTGGCATACTCAACAGAGTGTTCGTACCTAGGCGATCATAAATCGATTATATGACCGTCTAGGTTCGTACCCTTTCGTTTAGTTTTTACTCACAGAAATCATCTCACAAAAGTCGGCTATCACAACGACAGATGATAATTCTAAAACAAACAAAAATAAGTGTCTGGTAGGTGGGTGCTCTGGTGTGGTTTGTTCCTTCTTTCTGATCAAACATCTATCGTCCTTATCCCCCCTTCTTCTTTTTATGTTTGTTACTCTCTTGTAACACCTCTAATCTTGTGGTGCTCATATGACCGTATGCAGTTGCGAGCGCCGTAAAACCTCTACTAAAACTAAAAAACAAAAACAAACAATCAAAAAACATAAAAAATGTATATTTCATTACGCTAAAAAGATTAAAGAAATGGTTGTTGTGACACATTATTCTGCAATTTAAGTGCCTCGGCAACCAACATACTAGTAGATATAACATGTTGTGGTTACGGACGGGAGAATAATACTCGTATACTGGCAATCAAAACAACAACAGCAACAACAACATTAACAACAATACAACCACCACCAACAACAACAATTACAATTTCAGCAACAAAAACAACAACAACCACAACAATATCAACAACAACAATGACGACGACGACAAACTAACAAAGCCATAAATCCCGAAAATCCAGGTAAATACCGATCACCTGCTGGGTCCTTCTGAACAATCCGTATTTTCCCATCTTATTTAGACATGTGCCCACATTAGTGAAAACATTATCCCCTCCATTTTTAACACACTGCAGGCTATTCGTCAAAACAACAATGCGTTCCACTGAACTGATTTGATCGCTCAACATCCATCAAAATATGATTCATGTTACGCTAAAATAACACATTCTTATGGGAATTATAGGGAGAGAGAGAACGAGAGCGAGAGCGAGAGCGAGAGAGAACGAGAGCGAGAGCGAGAGCGAGAGAGCGAGCGAGAGAGCGAGAGCGAGAGCGAGAGAGAGAG